TGGGAGAGCTCTCTCCTGCCGACAGAGCTACCGCCGCTCGTTGGGGTGGAAGTTTTTTGTCGGTGGGAGAGCTCTCTCCTGCCGACAGAGCTACCGCCGCTCGTTGGGGTGGAAGTTTTTTGTCGGTGGGAGAGCTCTCTCCTGCCGACAGAGCTACCACCACTCGTTGGGGTGGACGTTTTTTGTCGGTGAGAGAGCTCTCTCCCGCCGACAAAGAGCAGCTACGCTGTGTGCCTTTTAGTGGCAAAAGCTATGTTGCTAAGAGGTGCGTAGTGTAGTCATAGCCTAACTCCCTGAATTCGATGACCCTTCCCAGCTGGCCTGCCCCAGACCCAGCCTGCAGGGGACAGGGAACCAGTCTGGAGTTTGGGCCAAGTCAGGTCACCCATTTTGGAGGACGAGAAGAGCTCACTCCCACCTCCAATATCCCCATTATTCTCATTTTGCCCAGTGCCAGGGTCCCAGTGGTGCGGGACAGAGCTGGGAATGACCCCAGTGAGCAGGGGACATGGGGACCTGGGGGAAGCTGGCTTGGAATTCAGCAAATGATAAACCTTTGCAAGTGACAGCCAGCCCTGCCGTGCCCTTCCAGGTGTGCACTGCACACACGCTGGGTGCCAGCTGTGACGGGGCCTCAGCCCTGCATGCCTTGGAAGGTATCTGTGTGAGCGCTCTGGGGCGCAGGGAGAGACTTGCAGAAGTGCTCGGCCCCCAGCAGCACCCACTGAGAACAATGCGAGCCGCACATGTGTGTGCACAGGTTGTGCCATGTCTGTGCGCGCACATACATGTGTGTTGTTCCTGTGTGTGCTTGTGCACGTGTGTATGTGTGTGTGCATGAACAGCAGGGCTGGGAGGTTCTCCATTGTTCTCAATAGGAGCTGGGCTTTTCTGAAACCTGGCCCTGTGGCAAGAGGCTCTCGGAGCTTGGTGCCTGTCATGCTTCCCTCTGAATCCTTGGGCCCTGGCCTGTGTGGTCCCATGTGGTGAGTGCTCCGGGCTCCAACCCACATGCTCGTCACAAAAGGCACCATGTTTACTGCCTGGCTGCAGGGGACCCTCAGAGACAAGGAAGGTTTTGACAAAGCCGCCACTGCATTTCTGGCTCTGCAGGGAGCCGTGGCCTAAGCACGAACCCGGAGACAAGCTCACTGTGGCAGCCCATCCCTGAATCCCCCAAGAGCCAAATGAGGCCTGAATACTGGTCCGGGGGCATCCCTTCTAGTCAGCCCCCTGGCCCAGGGCTGGGCCTCTCAGCAGTCACTGGGCAGTGGCCCTGGTGCTATGTAGCAGCCAGAGCCCCAGGGAAGCTTGGGCATGTTGGGGCCATGTTCCACTACTGGCAGCATGGGTACGATGGAGGGGGCAGCAAGGCATCGGGAGTGTGTGTGTGTGTGTGGGGGGGTTCAGAAGGAAGCACCTGGGGACCCTTTGGATGCAGGGATAGGGAGGGGAACCCCAGCTGGGCTGAGAGAGGGCCTCTCACAAATCCCATCACTCTCCACCACTCCTGGGGAGTGGAGAGCTGCAGGGGATTCACAGCAGCAGCCTGCAGCTCCCTGGGACTCCACTATCTGGAACAACATCCCTGGCAGACTCAGGACCCTGCCAGGCTGGACTCATACCAGGAAAGAGCTGCTGGGCTTCGGTCTGTGACAACTTTCTAGAGACAAGGTCTGGCTGGCAGGGTATCCAAAGCGGGTGGTAGCTGCTGGGGTGGGGTGCGTCCCACGCAGGGCCCAGGGGCTGGCCGTCTGGGCCCACCAAGCTGGCTAAACCTCCTGCCAGTCCTCGGCCCCGTCCTGTGGCGCTGGCATCAGCAGTGAGTTGGGTGGCTTGTCCTGGAGTCCCTGCCGCTGGCTGATGGCACAGAGCAGCTCGGCGTGTTCCAGCTCCAGGGCTGACAGGCGGCGCTCCTACAGGGACAAAGGGCTCAGTCACCCCAGCCTGCTGCCCTGTTCCCCTAGTCAGACGCCCAAAGCCGGCAGCACACGCCACGCTGCACGGGGCTCTGACACCAGAGGCAACTAGCACCATCACCCTTCACTCCTGGGCAAGGTCTGGGGTAGCTCCCTTCATTCCCAAGGTCTCCCTCTTCCACGCTCCGCCCCAGGAGAGACTGCCGTAAGGGACCCTCCCCAACCCTCCCCTATCCCCTTTAGTGCTGCCTTCTTAGCCACTCTTCCACTCAGCCCCGCAGGAGCTGTGGCTGAACTTACCCCACTCCCATGAGGCCTAGGAGACAAAGAGTATCAGGTGGGTCAGAGCAGGGGGGCTGGGAGTCAGGACTCCTGGGTTTTATTCCCAATGCTGGTAGGGGAGTGCGGGCTGGTGGGCAGAGCAAGGACTACTTCACCCCACTAATATTGGCTCTCCTAGCTCGATGGCTCTGGGTATTTTCCCGCTCTCTGAGCGCTGAGCAGGGATCAGTGTAGATAAATCTCTGATAATTTTCATATAACTTTACATTGTGCCTCTTCATATAACCTTGTGGTGGGTCTACCCACATGTGACCTCTGTTTTCATGGGACTTTGTATCAAAGCCTCATTTAGAAACTTTGCATTGCCCTTGGTATAATATTATAGCCCCTAAGGATAAAATAAGATAGAAGAAAAATTTCTTTTTGCTAGCAAAAAGAAGAACAGAAGTACTTGTGGCACCTTAGAGACTAACAAATTTATTAGAGCATAAGCTTTCGTGGACTACAGCCCACTTCTTCGGATGCAACATATGCATATGGGGCTGTAGTCCACGAAAGCTTATGCTCTAATAAATTTGTTAGTCTCTAAGGTGCCACAAGTACTTCTGTTC